GGCGCCCCGGGCCGCAGGGCGGGGAGTCCCGGGAGAGGGGAACGCCTGCCCGGAGGCAGCCCGACCCTCCGAGGTCCCCAGCGAACCCCAGACCGGGCTCAGGCCACGGGGTGAGGTCGCGTCCCAGACACTCGCAGGGACCCGAATCAGGACACACCAAGCTCCACACAGCCCCGAACGGTCTCACAGCCCCACCTGCCCCTCTCACGTCGCACATGCGCAGGCTCCTCTCCCCCTCCCCACGCGGGAGCAAGGGCGCGTGGGCACCCTGCGTGTGTGTCCCAGCCAAGCCCTGCACCTCGCCCGGGCCCACGCGGGCCTGTGGACCCCATCCCACACGCAGAGTCCGCCTGACGTGCTGCATCCCTTAGGTGCACCTTAGGTGTGGCATCCTACGTGGCCTAACCCATCAAGTCCCTGGAATTCCTGTGCAGGCTCTGACGGCGACCACCTCGATGACCCAGGCGCGGGAATCCTCAACCGCTCACGATTCACCAGCCCCTTCCTCAACTCACCCCACCCTCAAGCTTTCTGGCTCCAGCTAGGCCAGCTTAGGGGGGAGGGGAGGGAGAGGGACAAGGGCTGTCTTCCCTTCACCCCTGCTCAGCCTGGGGCCCTGGGAACCTGGGCTGAGAGGGGGAGGAGGAGGCCCCCAAACAGGAAATGCCTCTCTGGGCTCCTGCTGCAGGGTGCAGTGGGCTAGGGGGCTGGGTGGGGGCTGGGCTACACTCTGGGTGAGCAGGACTGGCTGCAAGGGGACCAGTGCACAGCCATGTATGGGCACAGGGCAGGCAGGGACACATTGCATGTATATGACATAGGCATCACCTCGTGGAGCCCCCTTCCTGCCCCCAGGGCCCACTGCTCAGGCCTGGTGGGGGTCCTCTTCCTGTCTCTCCTGGAGGCCTCTGGAGGAACTTGAGCCAAGCTGGTCACCCAGGATGGCCCCTGGGGAGCCAGCTGAAAGATTAACCCACGCACATCCGCTGTATTCTTTTTGTATATTATGTTTTATTTAGAGACAGGGTCTCTCTGAGTTGCTTAGCGCCTCACTTTTGCTGAGACTGGCTTTGAACCCACCATCCTCCTGCCTCAGTCTCCTGAGCTTCTGGGATTACAGGATTATTTATTTTATTTATTGTTTTTTAAGAGATGGTTTTTGCTATGTTGCCTAGGAACATCCTCCCTCAAACTCCGGGGCTCAAGTGATCCTCCTGCCTCAGTCTTCTGAGTAGCTGGGACTACAGGCATATGACTTTGGCAGATGTTCTTAGCAGATGTTTGAATCTGAGGTGAGGCTGTGGAAGACACTGCCCCATAGGACACTGCCCTGGTCTAGCTTCCTGCTGTGCTGCTAATCTGCTGTGTGACTTTGGGGAAGTCACTGACCCTCCCTGTGCCTCCATTTTTCTTATCTACAATATGGGGATAATGGGCCCAGGCTTTTTTTTTTTTAGCTCAGCTGGGATATTGTATCATCACTATTTGCAAATGTGCTCTGTCAGCAGTGAGCATGAAACATATGTTCCTTAGTCTTCCCAACAAACCTGGGTGAGGCCTTCAGTCCTAGCTAGTGTCTGAGAACCAGGGCTTTTGAAATGCATGCCATGTGCCTGGAAGTTCCTTCTTACAGGGTGCACACCTGGGAAGCACACAGAACTACTCCCCTTCTCAGGAAAGAAAAGTCAATATGGTGCAGTTCACCCTTCCTTTGGCCTAGGCCCAAAACCTTGAGCTCATCCTTGACTTGTCTCTTTCTCCCACACCCCACATCCAGTCTCGGCAAATCCTGCTAGCATTGTTTTCAAAATAGACCCGGAATCTGAGCACTTCTCACCATCTTTGCCACCCACCCCTGGCCATGCCACTAGCATCACCCATCTAGAGCCTTACACGCCACCTCCCACCCCCAGACCTCCTAACTTTCTATTGCCCTCGCCACCCTGCCAGAGGGATCCTTTGAAAATGTAGGTCAGGGCTGGATATGTAGCTCAGTGTTAGGATACTTGCCTAGCATGTGTGAAACTGTGTTCAGTCCCCAGCTATACACACTCTCATACTCTCTCTCTCTCTCTCTCTCTCTCTCTCTCTCTCTCTCTCTCTTTCTCTCTCTCACACACACACACACACAGTGGACCAGGCAGGCATGGTCCACCTATAATCTAATCTGCTGTGTGACTTTGGGGAAGTCACTGACCCTCTCTGGGCCTCCATTTTTCTTATCTACAATATGGGGATAATGGGCCCAGAGTTTTTAGCTCAGTAACTCAGGAAGATGAGGCAGAAGGATTGCAAGTTTGAGGCTAGCCTCGGCATCTTGGCAAGACCCTGTCGCAATAAATAAATAAATAAATAAATAGAACCTAGGTCAGATCTGGTCCCTCCCCTGCTCAAAACCCTCTGAGGTCCCATCTGACTCAGAGGAATGACCCCAAGTCCTTGCCATGTGATCTGTTCCTAAACTACTCCGCTCCCTTTTACTGTGGCACCAGGCACTCAACCTCAAGATCTTTCCCTGTGGTCCCCTGCAGGGAACACTGTACCAGCAATGTCCAAATGCTCTGCTTCTCCACTTTCTTCAGGTCTTGGTTCAAGTGTCAGTTCCTGATCCCCACCTCGCACTGTTCCACCATCCCAGGGACTCCCTGGCCCTGGATCTTGCTGCGTTCCCTGCTGTGCACTTATTACTCTGACAATGTATATATTTATTTGTTGCTTTCCTTATGACCTGATTGCTCCTAGCCTTGGCATTATTGATATTCAGGGCTGAATAACTACTTATTACAGAGTCTGAGCTCTGCATTGTAAGATGCTTAGCAGTGTCCTTGGTTTTTGTTGATGTTGGTAGCATCCTTCTAGTTGGGACAATCAAAAATGTCCCCAACTGGATGCAGTGGCACATGCCTGCAATCCTAGCAACTTGGGAGGCTGAGGTGGGAGGATCGAAAGCTTGAGGCCAGGGCTGGGGATGTGGCTCAAGCGGTAGCGCACTCGCCTGGCATGCATGCTGCCCGGGTTCAATCCTCAGCACCACATACAAAACAAAGAAAACTAAAAAATAAATATTAAAAAAAAATTCTCTGCTCACTTTAAAAAAAAAAAAAAAAAAAAAAGCTTGAGGCCAGCCTGAGCAACTTGGAGAGTCCCTAAGCAACTTATCAAGATCCTGTCTCAAAATAAAAAATTAAAAGAACTAGGTATGTGGCTCAGTGGTTAGGTGCCCCCTGGGTTCCTTGCCTGTAAACCCACCAGCAGAAAAAAAGTTTCCAGACATTAGCAAATGTTCATATCACCCCCGAGAGAACTTCTGCCCTTGGAGACTGCGAGCTCGTGGTGGCGGGGTCATTCATTCTCCTCTTCCCTACTCCATGCCCGGAGTGAAGAAAACTCGGGGCCCATAGATGCTGAGCTCTAAGGTGTGTGGAATGATGAACAAGACTCCAATGTGTGAAGAGCCTGGCTCAAGGAGATGAACTGTGTGAGCTGGGATCCCACCTGGGACAGAGACCACTTGCTCCCCACACTTGCTGGCCATCCCCAGGAGTCTGACCATCCCAGAACTGGGAGAACCCTGCAAGAACCCTGCAGACAGGAAGTCTTTTTGCATTGGGGGGGGACTGAGGCCTAGGGAGTCTCAGAACCACTTAGTGAGTGGGCTCAGACCAGGACCAATGTCTCCTGATTCTTAGTCCAGTTCTCTTTTTGCTGTAGCACCCTGTGGCACCGTTTGAGCAGAGACTGGGAATCAGGAATGATGGCAGAAATGCAGTTGGAGGCAGGAAGGCAGACCAGGAAGAGGGCACAGCCTGGATGAAAGCACAGAGGGCTCAGATGGGCCTGGAGAGCACAGCACTGCACTGGGCCCAGGGAGAGCCTCAGGAGGAGGTGAGGCCCGGAGAGAGGGAGCAGAGCGGAGTAGAGGCCTGGCTCGGCAGCTGCCATGGGGACAGAGGCATGAGGAGCCATCTTCAGGGATGGTGTGCGGTGGGTGGAGGGGGGCTGGAGGCCAGGGACCAGTGAGGAGGCTGTTGCAATCGTCTGGGAAAGGAGAAGGAGCTGGCTGGAGAGCAGGGCAGCAGGGCGGGCCGGGCTGGGGGAGGCAGCCTCTGGAGGCTCTTAGGGACGGTCCTGAGCCTGGTCCAAGGGTGTGGTGAGCCCAGTCATGATTCGGGCAATGGCCAGTGCTGGGGCGGCTAAGAGAAGGCTGCAGGCCATCTGGCAAGTGGGTGGGTCAGATCAGAGGTCAGGACCCCAGCTTCAGTGGGGTCAAGGGGTTGGGGACAGGCAAGGGAAATAGGAAATAGGGGGAGGAGGGTCAAAGGTCACATTCCAGAGGTACTATAACTTACTGGTGGAGGGAAGCCTGAGAAGGATGGGGGCTGGGGAGCAGAGGAGGGGCATCTCTGGACCCAACAAAGTTAAAGGGACTTGAAGACACTCTGGATGCCTAGTTTAGGAAGGTTCCTAGTACTCACTTGTCTCCTCCAAGTTGGGAGAGGTAGAGTAGCAATTCCCTAAGAACTTTCTGCTCTAGTTGGAATGGGGGGCACAGTGAGGACCACATCAAAGGTCTGGGATGAGGAGCTGGAGACAGGGCTGGTCGGGGCTTACTCTTCCTGCTGAGCCTGATGGGTCTTGGTTTATCCCAGCACAGAGAAGATGTTAATTGAAGAAATGAATGCTTGGAGCATATGTGGTGGGTATATGGATGGTCGTTTGGATGCATGGGTGGGTGCATGGATGGGTGGGTGTGTGAATGGATGCATGGATGCATGCATGGGCAGATGGTTGTATGGATGCCAATGTGGAAAAATGGTCAGGAGGAAGTATGGATGAATGGATGGTTGGTGGATGATGGACAGATGGATAGATGTAGGAATTATTAAGCGGAGGAGTATGTGGATAAGATGATATTTAGATGCATGGTTGGGTACAGGGACATAGGTTAAAGTCATAGGCCCCGTTTCAGAGCTAGTAGCCGCCATGGTGTGTGGTATGCTCACAACGGAACTCTCCATCTCTGCAGGAGGACATCCCAGGAACATGGAACAGCTTGGGCTACCACTGCAGGGATCAAGTGGGACTCTTCCCTGATACTACACAGTCATTCTCTCTGCTGGGGCCTGAGGCCAATGAAACTCCCACTGGGGGAGGGGACAATGTATCTTCCAAGCTCAGGACACCAGGCTCAGCTCACATTGAGGGTCAGGTGGCTGGGGTTCCCTGCTCTGATCATGGCCCACATAGGGAGTGCTCACACACCTCAACGGGACACGAAAACACAAGCCCAAGCCACCAGAAGGAGCCCTGGCTGGCAGCGACTGGGACAAGCAAGAGGCAGATGGTGGTTTTGGATACAATGTGTGGGCCATGGGGAGAGGTAGGCAGCCTGCAGAGGGGCTGGCCTGGAGAAGGCTCCAGAACAGCCAGGGCCAGGGGTCGGGTGTGGTTGGGGGGCGCCCCCTGAGCCAGCAGGCATCCTGGAGAGCCTTGGCACCCAGGCTGCTGAGCCAGCACATTGTTCTGTGTACAAGTCACCTCCTTGCCTCCTTCTGTCCCATCCCCCATCTCCCTCCATGTCTAAATTCTTCCCAAACCAATCCAGCCATGAGGCTGTCAAGAGGAAAGGCTGAAGGGTGGGTGGGAGGCGCCTGGTCTTGGGTGGGAGCCCGAGGGGAGGTGGAGGAGGGAAGGGAGACCTGGCAGCCTCCTCCCTGCTGCACCACACCCGGTGTGCTTCTGGGTAGGACAGCCCTGCAGGGAGCCCCCCTCCCTGTGGATGGGGTGGGAGTGCTAGGGTAGAAGGGGTGCAGTCCCTCCTCAGCATCCCCAAAGGTGGAGGCGGCTGTGGGTGCCTTTGCCCTGGAGAGAGCCCATGTTTGTGCATGGCCGTGTGCTTGCCTGTGTGCACACAAGTGTTTGTTTGCACAGGCCTGGCATTGCCATGGACACACACAGCTGGGTGATGTGTGTGTTCAGCTAGTCCACACCTGTGCCCACAGCTGTGTGAATGAAGCATATGGCTGCCCCTGGATTGCCCAACCTGGACCCAGCTGGAAGCCCCATTCGCTCTCCTGGAAGATGCCTGACATGAACATCTGGCCACATCTGCCCTCAAGAAACAGAATCCTGAGGCTGGGGCTGTAGCTCAGTGCTAGAGCACTTGCCTTGCACGTGTGAGGTACTGGGTTCGATCCTCAGCACCACATAAAGATACTGTACCAACTACAACTAAAAATATTAAAAAGAGAAAAAAGAGGGCTGGGGATGTGGCTCAAGCGGCAGCGCGCTCGCCTGGCATGCGTGCGGCCTGGGTTCGATCCTCAGCACCACATACAGACAAAGATGTTGTGTCCGCCGAAAACTAAAAAATAAATATTAAAATTCTCTCTCTCTCTCTTTAAAAAAAAAAAAAGAAAAGGAAAGGAAAAAGAAAAGAAAGGGAATCCTGAGCCCAAGTCAGAGCTAAAAGGAACTAGACTTGCCCCTGCGCATGTCCACAGCCCTTCTCAAGGATGAAGCTTCTTTAGTGATCCAAGGCTACCTGTGGGAGTGGAACCTCCCTCCTAAGCCTGCCACCTAGGGTGACCAATGTGTCCCAGCTTTCTGAGGACGTTCTGATTTCAGCACTACAGACCCCATGTCCTAGGAAGCCCCTCAGGCCTGAGCAAATGAGACAGTTGGTCCCCCGACATTCTTCCCCAGCTACCCCAGTCCCAGCCTCCCACAACCCCTCACTTCTGGAACTTTCTCTGAAGGCTCTTACTTTCCCTTCTCTTCCTGTCAACGCCTCCTCCTCCTGCCCCCTCAGGGTCCCCAAGGATCTCTGCATCTCGGTGTCTCTCCCTTTCTTCTCTCCCCCGTGTCTGGGTCTGCAGCTCTCCTGTGGGTCTTGGAGGTCTCCCTGTCTACTGTCCCCTGGTGCTCTGCCTCTTTCTGTGTTTTCTGTCTCCAGGGTCCTTCTGTCTCTGTCACAGAGTCTCTAGCTTGCCCCCAACCCTGGGTGGTCCAGCCTCTCTTCTCTCCCAGCACTGCAGCCCCAGGGCTGGCTGGGGTGGGAGCCAGGTCTGGGGGCCTGACCAGGCCCGGAAGGAGAACCAAGCAGACATGATATTTATGTTGGGACTTCAAAGTGGAGCGCAGCCCGTGGTGGGGGTTGAATGGCTGACAGGCAAAAGCCAGACTGAGGTCAACTCAGGCCCCTCCCTGGTGAGGGTCTCCTTGGTGACACACACCTCCCCTTGGGACTTGGAGACCAAGTGTAGGAACAGAATGGGCTATTTTGGTGCAGAGTTCCAAGAAAGGCACTTCCTGTGCCTTTGTCCTGCCCCCAGCCCCATCCTTTCTTCCTGTCACCCTGCAACCGGGTCTAGGCACTGTGGGCCCCACCTCTTCCGAGCATCAGCCTGGCTGGGGAGACAGAGTTCTAGGGGTAGCAGGCGCAGAGGGCTCCATCTCAGCAACATCCCTGGCGCTGGTACAGCCCAAGCATTCTGTCTCTCTGGAAGAATCCATGCCTGGCAGGGCCCGTGGGTCTGTAACCCTGTCGGCCCCAACAGACTAAGTTAAGCAGGCCCAGCCCCTTGGGACCTCTGAAGTTCATTCATGGGTTGCCTGCCCGAGAGCCTGAGGGGCCAGATGGGCCGGGAAGGTCACCCTATCCTTGCTCCCCCATCCGCCCTTGGCCTAACCCCGGTTAAAGTCACCCAGCTGCTGAAAAGGCGTGGGGCCTGGTGGCTGGGTGGGGCGGGCAGGGCCCATTGTCTCATCCTGCAGCTCAGTTCAGGGTCCTAAGCCCCTCCCAGCAGCCCCGCCTCGCAGGCTCTCCTTCAGGCACCCCCTCAGGAAACCCCAACCCCAACTGAAAGGCTTGCTCTAGATCCCGGACTCCCCCTAAAGCCCACCCAGGCCCCCAGAACCCCAGTCCCTGGGCTCTGTCCCCTCCCAGACCCTCCCGGGCTCTTCCTGTGAATCAGGCCGGCTGGAATCTGATGAGCTCAGGCCTCCCCACCCAGCGAAGCCGGCTTCTGCCTCCTGCTTGGCCAGTGGAGTTGCCACGCCCCTCACTGGGGTCTTCCTAGCACTCACAGCCCCCCCAGGGTCTGCCAGGGGCCGGGTTTGGTGGGGGGTGAGTGAGGCAGGGTGGGCCAGGGCTGGGAAGATTAGTCAGGAGAGGGGCTTGGACCTCTCGGGCACGCTCGAGAGTTAAAAAAAAAAAAAAAAGTATGGTGTGTGCGCGCACGTGTCTGTGTGTTTGTGTGGGAATTTGCTCTTTCAGGGCTCAGACTGCAGGTAATGGCAGCCCTGTGCTATAGCAAAGTCGTGTGTGTGGCCATGTCTGAGCAGGTGATGTGGGTGTTGTGGCAGTTCTGCACAGGTAGGTCTGAGTGTGTCAGGAGATCCTGTGCAGCTGATCACTAAGGTCTCTATGCCAACTCGTCCTCATGGGTGCCCTACTGGTGCCTGGGTGCTCTTGTGCCTGCTGTGGTGCATGGGTATTACACTCTGTTGGAATGGGGGTCAGGAGTCTGTGTGTGTGGAATCGTGGGAGTTAACATGGGTCAGAAGGGGCTGGGGATGTGGCTCAAGCGGTAGCGCGCTCGCCTGGCATGCGTGCCGCCCGGGTTCGATCCTCAGCACCACATACCAACAAAGATGTTGTGTCCGCCGAGAACTAAAAAATAAATATTAAAAACTCTCTCTCTCTCTCT